AATTCTGTTGTATGGTTTGTAGTTTCAGTTGGACAACCTATTAACCTTTTAGTCAAATTTCAGAATTTGAAATAATGTGTTCACATTTCTTGTTTAAGTTGTTTATTTGCAATATACTGTTATTGTGTTTGTTGTAAATAGAATTTAAGAAACTAAGACTTCAATTAACTTTGGAGGAAAGAAGTTATGACTGATAAGAGCCAGTTAGCACCTTTCTGCCGTAAGCAGCATTTTGCCATCATCCGTGAGTGAAAAGAGCACTCTTAAGATTAGCTGGATCAGAAACTCTATAGGAACGCATGCGGCACAGTCACAAGTGTAAGGGCTACCGGTGTCATTGTCTTGTTGTAATGCTTAAAAGGGATATGTGCTTGTCAGAGTCTCTAGTATCTCTAAGTGTCCTGTGAAATTGTAACAACCTTCGTACAAGAGAGTACGTTTAAGAGCTTTCTGAATGTCAGTAACATTTGTAAAGATTCTTGATACTGTCTCATACACTTTTACTGTATGACCTCAGATCCTGGAAAATGCTTAATCATGCAGGGGAATGTATCACATAAATGATTCGCTTATAATTCTCCTTGTGAAAAAATACCCATTGTGAAACGGAAAGGGCATTCCAGCTCTTCCAATGACAACCTCCTTTGTGTATTCATTTTACGGCATGAGATGGGGAAGTCTAGATAATTAAGATGGTTTCATTTACTTCACCTCTAATCTCATTCTGCTCAGGATGTGGAGATCCGAACGAACGCTGCCCTGTATCTACCTCAGATCAGCGAGCTCTTAAACAAGGTGCCTCGCCAGATGCTCCTGCTTTTAAAGACAAATGACCTTCTGCGAGGCATCGAGACAACCCTCCAGACCCGAGCCAGCGCCAGCTCCTTCATCAGCATGTCCCGGTGCTGCGTCCGGGCGCTGGCCAGGTACGGCTCGTCTTTTCCTGCTCTTTAAATGTGACACTTCCTGCTTATAGTCCGTCAAAGAGTGGCCGCTATAGGCTGATGATCTCAGCGATTCATTTGCGCACCGTGATCAATTCTAGCATCTTTGTCTTTTTACTTTCTGTATTTAATTTGTCTGGTTCATTGCATTGTTGTTCCTTGTTTTAGTTTTTTTTTTGAAGTCTTCATTCGTGCCACCGTTAACTTAATTAAGAACATTTTTTAATGAAAAAAAACAACGATCACTTTATACTATGTGGTGACTGATTATAGCAAGTGTGGGTGCCATTATTTAAAAAAATATAAATATATATATATTTTTTATATAAGCAATATGAAAGGTGTTTATATTAAGAAAACAGCTGGCAGTAAATTAATAAAATGTTTCTAGATTTCACAACTTAACTTAATTTTAAACCACAAGATTATTCCTTGGTTGGTCTTCTTTACACCCAGAGCTACTTTCACATTCTGTTATCTGTATTAATATTCCCTAAAGGTTGATCCAGCACAAAGAATGCAAAACCTGTGTGATAATAGTGAGATGATACTGCACTTTCCCCGATGATAAGGAAAAACACATTTCCTAACATTTTAATGAAGAAATATCTGCACTTGAAAATCAGAAACAGACAGGGGAGTATTCAATCACACTGTCTTGCTTTAAAGACTTTCTGCGCTGCACTGGATGATTTGGCACATTGAGTCGGAAAACCTAATGCCAGTGCATCAGCAGTTCTTAATTAAGGTGCATTCCAGTAGTCCACATGATGCAAATGAACAAGCCTTTAAAAAGCACTGAAATCTGGTACATTGGAATTTATGGAGAATTACATGACATATTAAGGTTTCAGCACCAAGGCTAGCACCATCAGGTGAGTCTGATCCCTCAACTGCAGTACAAGACACAGGAAATCTGTACTGCTCTCTGGACTCTCTGGACTAATACAGTATATAGCACACCACACCCACCTTAGCCTGCTTAAGATCTTCTCAGCCACTTCGACACTTTCAACTTCAAAAGGTGAGAAGGTGATAAACAGGTGTTTTTGCTCATGTTAAATGGTTGGTTATAAGGACAGGTGTTATAGCAGGTTTTGCCTTAATGAATTGAGGCAAATGTCATCTTATAAACTGTCCTGACAGAGTTTGAAAATGCACTGTCTGGCCATTGCAGCTGTGATTAAAGATGTTATTAATTTTACTTCCATTTCTTGAAGTGACTTTGGCCTCATTAGAAGACCCTCCTAGTCAGAGGCTTAGCTCTTAGCTCAGGCCTTGAGAACAGACTTGCTCTCATACTGGATACCTACTGCAAACCCTTTTGCCCTTTGCTGACAAAATGAACCCTTTGCCCTTTTTGCTGTATTTTCGGTGTTGCAACTCACAAATTAAATATTTTTTTTTAAGAAACACTAACTCAACAAAGATGATCTTTTATGATTTTTTCCTCTCGTGCTTTGCAAATATTGAACACCACCAAATCTCTTAAGAGATCTTTTCCATCTTCTCTTTATTTTGAATGAGCTTTTTAAGTGCCCCGGTTTACTCCTTACCTCTCAATTATTAGCCTTCACTTGATGTTTATGAATTTGTTTCAGCATAATGGATTTCTACCTGGCCCTCACAGTGGAATGCACAGGCCCAGTAAGCCTGTGTCAGATAATGAGGTTACAGGTCACTTTCAAGTTATTACGAGCTGAGGGTAACTTGAGAAATATCACTGAATCAAGTCAGAGAAGCTGCTCTAATGTTTACCCTTTTCTCACAGTGGTTTGTAAAATAATTCAATACAAACAAAGCAAGCTGTTTGAGAAACACCGAGGCGTCTGCTCATAGAAGCAAACCTGTATCCCACTTCATCTTTTATCCTCACTGTATGTGTTGGCAAAGATAATAACTAAATCCCAGTAGTTGCAGGATACACAATGCAGTGCTTATGACCCCATTTGCGACCTCCCATTTCACCACTTTATAGAGGCATGACATGTATTTTAATACATCAGAGCTGTAGGAGAGGTAGACCTTTTAGTAAAAGAAATGAGATGTAATACATATTTGGGATTTCAAATGCAAAGCTAACCAAACTCTGGCTTTGTCAATATATTGTTCTTCCCGGCATTTCTAAATTGTCTGAGGAGTGCTGTTTCTGTAGTGGCAAGCCAATCTATATTTTGCTTAAATTAAAACCATAATGCATCTCAAAAGGATATATTTATAAGTCAGCATTCAAAGTGCAGGAAAGTCATGCAGGGACAAAATAGAAAAAAAATCAATTCATGGTAATGATGCGCTTAGAGTGTTTTGAGATTTTCTGAGGTCCTCTCATCCTTCCCTCATCAAGGACTATATTCACAAGGATTCTTGAAAACCAGGGACGAAATAATATGAAAAATGAGAGCTCTAGCATGAGCCCATGATATTATATGCAGAAGGCATTGCAAAGAGATTTTTTCATGTGCAAACTTTTGTAAACGTGTTGTGCAAACAGACCCAAATGTCACAAAGAGTAAGGGGAGATTAATGAGAGAAGTGATAATATAAAATAAATGTTACACTGTAGACTCTACCAGGGGAATCACATGGAAAGTACAGCAGAATAGTATGTAGCAGTACTAATCTATTAAATACATCCTCTAAGATTTATATATATTACCAGGCTGTGGTGTTAATGTTTTGCAGAGGGGTTTTAATATTCGGTAGTTCTGTTTACCTAGCAAATTAGCTATGAACAGCTTCAGAATAAATATGAGGTAGATTGAAAGGTTATGTCAGTTTTAAACTGCTGTTTAAACTATGTTTATATTATTAAAAGTCTAATTAAGATGACAGTTTTGTATTAGTTTAGATTTATCCAAACCCACAAACACCCAGTTAGCATTCTTCATATTTACAAATCTGATTTCCTTTCTTTTTGGTAGGAGTAATCTTGTAAAGCGTAAAGTCTCCCTGTGTGAGGTGGTGTTGTATTCTTGTTCAGCAATGTGACTGTGAGAAGTGTTGTTGGGTCCGAATCAGCCTGCTGGTTCGAGGCAGGAGAGCACAGAGAGGCAAAAATCACCTCCTGAAATCTTGTGGACCCCTAAACTCCAGGTTGTATTTTAAAATGTGTTGCCCTCCTGTTTAGTATTTAACATTAATAATAAAATGCAAATTTTAGGCTTCCGTTGACCAGGCAGTGCATGTCATTGACCTGGGAAGACCTGGCATTTGAATATGTTTCTGAAGGCCGGCGCAGAGTCAACAGAGTGGGCGCTGGGGCGCCGGGCCCCTCCTCCTGCCTTGACAGCTCCGGGCCCCTCAGAGATGGGAGGCAGGAAAGCGTCTCCCACGACACTACGTGGCAGGAATGTGTTCTCAAATTAACTCCTCATCGCTGCCTTTCTCTTCCGGCAGTCGCATTGCAGGAGCTGAAATCTGCCTTGGGTCCTTATCAACAAGGGGTCCTACCAGGCTCATCTTTCCTGGCAAACATGAAAGCGCTTAGCGTCTTCTGCCTGCTGGAGCTGAGGGCAAGGCAGAGAGCACTGCAATGTGATGCAGTACAGTGTGTCCAGCTGGCCTCGCCACCTCTGGGTATCGGAGGTTTATTTCATCTGGATGATGCAAAACAGTAGCTAACACTGAGCATCCCTGGCTTTGAGCTGGCAAGAGAAGCTAATAAACTTTAAAGCTGAGTTTATAATTTATTCATTCGTCTTACACTGTGACAAGATACAAAATGTATTTTTAAAATATTGAGTGGGTCTAATTCTTCTGGCAATTGGACGTGCAGAGGAACGAGGGAATTCCTCCTCTCCTCCAGCAGTCAGTCACGGAGCTCCCACTCCTTCCCCTGTCCAGCCTGCAGGGATGATTCGCTCGGACACATTGAAACATCAGATTTGCATTACTTCCTTGTCACAGTCCCCTTGCTTTTATTCTGAGCCATAGTAGAACATGACAAAGTGAGCACAGGCCCTCCTGGGCTGTGATGTTTTAACACACAGCTACACAAACCTGCTCTTTCAACTGAAATCATTGTTCTGTCCTCCTGGGATTAAAAGCATGTGGCTTTTTCTGATTTCATTTCCATTAAATAGATAAGTTATTCAATTGAGTTTATGTCTTTCCCAAATGAACTATTTCCAAACTAGCTAATTTCACTTTTACTCCAGAATCTATTAGAAAAGAAGCATTGTTTTGCTAATAATATATGTTGAAACTCCATTGAATCACTGGAAAATCGATGATATTCTTCCCTAAAATAAAAACCTGAGTAAAGGGTTCTGGTACAATAACTGAAAGTAAAAATATTAACATTGTATGGAAAATTGTGCACAAACAATTTGCTATTAAAATTACTGTATGTTTTTGTCTGTTTTCTGAAGAAATCCAAGAGGCCTAAAATGCTAATTTTAAGCTATTGTTGTCATTTTGAAGATCTGAGTCAACACAAACTTTCTAGCCTAAAGCGAGGGTCTACTCAGATCAAACCTGTATATACAGGGCATGATTTTAATCAGTCAGTTCTGTGATACATCATTTTTTTGTAGCCTTAGTGATGCCTTAACCACTTACCACATGAAAAAAAATCTACAGTCCTGAAAATCTGCCTTGTTGTCAATCTAAGGCCCTACCTGACAGATACTTGAAGTACAGAGCTATTAGCAACCACAATATTTAACAAACTGTATCAGGACAAGGAGACTATTTCCATTCTGAAAGTGGTCATGTAACCAAATAATACTTGTGCAGCAAGAAATCAAAGAAACACACTGAATATCAAAATGTAAGCACTAAGTCAAATTACCAATACTAATGAGAAAAACACATTTCTTTATTTTATATTGCATTGAATTTCATGTTCAGAATTTGTAAAGATAAAGAATATTTCTTTCCATGTTCAATTCTTAAAGCTTAACAAATAACCCCCTAAAGACCATCTTCGTTCAGTCATGTTATGTATTTTATAGTTTTTAATACTATCATAGCACTCTGGGGTTTACATGCGTATACGCCTTCGCCACTGCTGCTTCAGGTCAGCCCCACACCCCTGGGGACTCAAACCCAGGCCTCCGGCATCACTAAACAGGGATCCAGCCAGCTGAGCTAAAGGGAGATCTCCCTTAAGCCTGGTGGCTGAGGTTCCTACTATCCACAGGGAAGGGCGGTGACATCACCGCGCTGGTAAGCCGGCTCAAACAACCTGTAATGTCCGCCGTATTACAGTCTGTGGAAGCCGGCTTACCAGCATGGTGACGTCACCACCCTTCCCTGAGGATAGCAGGGACCTCAGCCGCCGGGTTGAAGGGAGATCTCCCTTTAGCTCAGCTGGCTGGATCCCTGTTGAGTGATGCCGGAGGCCTGGGTTTGAGTCCCCAGCGGTGGGGGACTGACCTAAGGCAGCAGCAGCAGGGGTGCATACCCATGTGAACCTGCGAGTGCTACACTATTAAGGAAATGATTTGATATGATGCTTCTAAGTGACATTAGCACTAGGTTTCCAGAACTTTTTTAACCCCAGAATGCAGCTCAAGAGAGGAGTGCATGCTACTGTATTAAAGAAAGCTGAAGAAAGTAAACGATTAGGAGGTATCATTAGTTTACCTTTGACTGCATGTTCAAATATCGAGGAAGGTTTTATTCCCTACTGACCTATCTACTAAAGCGCAAAGGTCTGATTGACAGTAGTGCTACATAGCCTAGTGACAGAACGTGTTAGTGAAGATTCTCCCCTAAATTTCTCTCTTTTCTCTCTGTATCACAGGCATAAAAAGAATAAATGTGTGTCCACATACAGAAGAATGAAAATTACCTTCTCGGAAACATTCACCCTCTGGCAAATCGATGTATATGAACTCTTTCTGAGGATTAGGGGTTCAACACTAGGAAAATGGATCGTTAGCTTGATGTGCCTGTTTCACTATGTGCATTGAGTCAGACTGGTACTGTAGTGTATGTTTTTCTGTTCCAGGAAACAGTCCTCCATTCTAACTGCTCTCACAGACTGTTTTAATACTTTACCTCACTATTTGTACTTTCCAAAACACAGAATTTGAACTGTGGCTTTCCCTCATCATGTACTGAAATGCACTGTCTGAATAAATATTTTTTCCTATGCAGATCTGCAGTATTTGTTATGATAATGACACTGGTCATTTAATAGTTTTCAGTACTGTTTTTCTGAAGTGTTATGACTATGTAACTGCATTATTAAGTAACATTTAGCAATTATAATAAAAACCTTTGCTTACACGTCTGTATTCTATGTGAAATGGCTCATCATCGTTGGTTTATTTTGCACTTCATCATTAAGGATTTACAAATTAGTAACTTACATGCGTTATCATATCATAATTTGTTATCATATTGTAAAATAGCAGAAATCAATTTGATTACTTTGCTTAGCTATATACAGTAAGAAAGGAAAACTGTTAAACTTATTTTTGGCTTTAATTGATCTGCAATTAAATACACATTTAACCATATACCTTAAGGAAAAATATAAGACAAACACTGTAGAGGTTAAATTTTATAAGAATGTAAGAAGGGTTAGAAATGACCCAGATTGTCTTTAAAAGTTTGAGGATCTTTGTTATTCTTCTGCAGTATTATACCATCGAAGTCTCTCTCAGTATTGGAACTTGTTGCTATCCTTGTGTAATTGCAGGAATTACATTTGTCATTTGATAGGTTTTGGTTTGAATCAGATATGTTGAATCAACATATGTTGACATTCTTGTATTTTCTATAAGTTGTAATGTTAAGAAATAAAAACAGCAAACTCTGAAATCAAGCACAAAAGAGAAATATATAGTAAAGTAGTAAAGTACAGTATGTTTAATTTCTAAAATTAAAACTTCTTAGCTTGTTGTTGGTTTATCTCTCTTAATGGCAGTCTTCTCTGATAAACTGCATTCTCAAATGACAGAGAGTCATGTTGCATTTGAAAAAAAGCTCAAGAAAAAAGTATTTTATTTCAGAATCTGTTTACTGGGCACGTTGTGTGATGGGACAGTTGGTCAGCATTTGAAAATGGAACAAAAATAAAATTCTTAAACACAAAGCATATTTATACAATTTCCTGCAACGTACTATAGATGCACTGTTTTGTGAATTTTGTATTTTGTGTAAGTGCTGTCATTCCATGCTATAAAATGACCTAATGTCAGATGGGGTTTATTTCCTGGTGTCCCCCCAATAGAAATTTGCACACACCTTCTGCACCCCGTACTGGACAGGTGCTGTGATCTGCGATGGGCTCTGAATGCCCTAGTCTACACATGTTTGTTGCCCAGACACATCTGTGCCCTCATGGGCAGGGTCACGTGAAGCTGGGAGTGCAGTAGTCATTGTTAACAGAGCCCCAATGCTCCATGCTCACTGGCACCCTTCCAAACTGATCTGGGCAACAGGCAATGCCCCTGTCTCCCAATATCCTGGAGAAGGCATGCTCTCTCCAAGTGCACCCTCCTTGCAATGTCAAAGCATTCAAGTTTATTGTCTCCATGCAAAGGGCAAAAGTGGCAGCTCTAACCCATTGTCCCCCAGTGAATCCAGCAGTTGTGACTGGTTGGTCATTTCTGCTTGTCTGAGTGTCTTACTCGCCCACTCAAGAAGTGCTGACAGTCCTTTCTGAATAGATGATTTTTTACTGCGACAGCTCAGGGTATTCAAGACCTGTTACCTTTGGGTCTCCTCCCTGTATTCCACATCACCAACCCTCGGGAACCTGTCGTCTCACTGTCCTGTCATGCTCAGCAGTAGCTTGAGTCAGACACCATACTGCAGCTGATGAAGGCTTCTACCTGAACCACTGGTAAGAGTTACAATGCTTTTACAGCAGGACTCTGCCAGCTTTGGCTGACACAAGCATGAATCCTCTGCAGGAAGAAGGTACTCCTATTAGATGACCCTATCATCCTAGGATTTACTTTTGATTCAACACAGGACAATGTTCTTCACTGGTTGCAAGTAATGAAGGAGGCGTTATGTCTGTTTGGTTCTTTGCAGTCCAGAAGGCAGAGGCTCTGTCCTGCTCCTGAGGCTGTAGCACAACCTCTTCCTATCCTAGCTGAACGCCCAGGGATCTTGCCATGGATATTGCCATGGCACTGAGGTTCTGGGGGGTCAGACGTACAGGTTCAGTAAAGGAGAACCCAGCCACAGGCCCTCATTCTGGAGCCCCATTGTCTCCGCCCACTTCAAAACTCTGCCTCCTTGGCCCCTCCTTCCAACCTAGTTGGCCTAGACTGGATTTGGGGAATACACAGCAGAGGTTCTACACATATCCAAAGATATAAGGCTTAATTATACACCTATAGATGTGTTCTGAATATTGTACTTTAAAATTAACTAGTTTTTCTGACTGTTGAAATCAAGGCCATATCTACCTACTACTGTACATAACGAACCCGATCCTGTGATTAACTGTCATCACATAACCCCGACTATAACCCTTTTATGTTAGCTCTACTGTAACTAATCCCACCTTTTACCATATTGAAATCTCCAAATTTTGCATTTCATCCTTATTAGTTTCTTTGTGCTTTTATCCATTTATAACCTTATCAAATCATAGATTAGAAAAATATGATTTAAGCCAAATAAGTTGCTTATATTAGTGTTCTTACATTAATGCTACTGCAAAAATGTTTCTAAAAGATTTTTAATAGTATCACTTTTGGGTTATGCTGCTGTCCAGTGGTCCATTCACCCTACTGCTGTAGGTCTAACAAGTGGGCTGGCATGTCATTAAGCTGTGGAGTCCAATAGTCCTGCACCAAAGCTGCACTGATTCCTGGGCTGTATTTCCCAGACACCGAAGAATCAGCAAATAAGAGACCTTATCACTTTCCCTAGATCTTAATTATAGTTGACCTTTGAAGGGAAACGTAACATGAGTTTTAGACCAATGTCTGGATGAAATAAAAAATCCATCCATCTTGATCAGAGCAAAAGGCCCAGAGCTGCCAAATTTAATCATGTAAGTAATGACACAGTCCTCTTCCTTGTTTTTTGGCAAGACCGCAAATGCGTAAAGGTTATTCAAGGTGTATGCGTGGTATTTTTCAAATTCACTGTGCCATATGTTATTATGCATACTTACTTAAATTAGAGCTAGATACAGTGATAACATACAATGATCAAATAAAAATATAATGTAGCTGCAGCACCAGGGGAAGCAAGTAGAATCTGTGCTTCCTTTTACAGATGCTCCAACAGAACAGATGCTTTGAAGAGTGCAGTCTGAGTTCTGCTGTTCAGACGTGGAGGGTTCGAGTCTGGCTTATGTCAGCTGACCAAGACTGGGATTTCCCAAGGGGTGGCACACAATGGGCTGAGCTTCACTGGGACTGGTTGAGTTTGTGTCATTAGGAATATCCTCAACAAATTGTTTGTGAGAGCTACACCACTGCACCAGTGAATGATACAGTTCTAGAGGAAGCTCATTAGGAAGCAGGGCGGATGATCATGTGTCAAAAGATTGCTCGTCAGCTCAGCACAAGGCGTGTCACAGAAACGTGACAGAAACGTGACTCAAATACTTGGTGATGCCAGATTGTGAGGGCTCAAAAAATAGTTGGTGGTCACATTTTTTTTCTGGCAAACAATGGTTAATATTCTTGATACACCACATTCATGACAGGCGTACAGCACAAATCCTTGTTATCTAGATCATAAATAGACTTAATTTCTAATTTTGTTAAGATTCTACAAAGAATAATGGGATTGTAGGTTCCGTCAGCGGTTTCATTATGCACTCAGAAATCAGAAATCATGGTGGAAAATGAAGAATACTTACCAGACAGTACAGAATATTTTTTAAATTAAAATGCAGAGATATATGTGCCATTGGGTTCTTAATTCAAAGAGAAATCACAGTGCTGAGACTCCGAGGAGAGAATCAATGTGCTTTTGCGTTCATTTCAGGAAGAAAAGAGTGTTGTACCATCATCGAAAACAAAGCATTTAATTCCCTTCTTTAATCCAGATTGAGTCTGGTGCAGGATTTGCCTCAAAAAGTTTACCGTTTCACTTATAAAGATATAAGCTTCACATATCAACTATTCATATACTCCCATATTTGGTAGTGAGGTGATTTATAAAGAGAACATATGGTATTGAAGGCATTTAGATTTTATAAGTTTATGGACCTGCCAAGATACTGATAACAGACCTAAGACAAAAGACATGCACAGGTGTACAGTATATCCATACTTGATTCCCTCTGTCCCCAGCAGCACCTAGTATGGAATACATATGTCTCTGTCTGCTAGTGTACTGTCCTCAATTTCATCGAGATACAATCACATTTAGGATCACTTAATCTGAAAGTCATATCCCTGTTAAGATGCATTATTCAGGACCCTATGCAGACAGCAGAATCTGGAAGGGAGTGAACAGACACGGGGAGGAGACGAGGAACTGGGCTGGTAGACGAACAGGGGGCGTGACGAAGGTGCGCAGGTGCTCCGGGGGGGGGGCGTGGTCCAGGCAAAACAATCAAAGGAAATCCTTAGGGAAAAAACCAGAGTGAAGTCCAACAGCCGTGAAATCCAGGAGACGAAAACAAAAACACAGTTAAAAGCCGGAACGGGATCTGTATCAAGGACGGGGAATGAAAACGATTAACGGGACCAGGCGCTCCAATTCCCGGACTCGGCTGGTTCCGGACGCCGATAGGAGGCCTGTGCCCTCGAGCCGTGGACGTAGGGCGACTCGGTGGTAGGCGGGCCTCCGGGTGTCCGTGTTCCAATGCAGAACTAAAATGTGAAAGAGCCAGAGCGCCCTTAAGGGCGAGGGATTACAATCGTGACAATCCCCGAGCAATATTAAAAATTACTGAGGCTGTATCCCTTAATATAAATTTAATGGTCAGTTCCAACAAGGTCAGACCCATTGCCACTTTGTGTTTCTTGCAATTGTTTCAGTTTTACAGATGGATAATATTTCACAGCATTGCACATGTCATGATTTTACCATGATTTTACCATGTGTTAATGTGTTAATAACAAGACAGACCTTACTGATATCCAATCTCAAAGAGTACCATTGCATTTGTTGATGTTACAGTATTTTTTACTTTGAGTTAAATGGTGAAGCCTCCGGATTAAGAAAGGAATTTAATTAACATCACCTAAAAACCACATTACAAAACATAAGCTGTAGATGAGATTTATTAAAGGTTCAAGCTGTGGCAATTGGAGTAAAGCAGCTGAAGCAATTTTAAACAAGAGTGCAGTGAACATT